TAAATTACAATTAAAATCATCCTCCTTTCGATGAATATGAAGCGTACTTTTAAAGAATTCAAGCAAGCTATGAAGCAAGTGGGATCAAAGAAGTCCCCAGGCACAGGCAACATCCTTTTCGAACTGATCAAACATGGCGGCTTACTCTTGCAAACCCGCATTTTCTGAAAATGTGGGAATCCCAACAAGTTCCAAAAGAATTGAAAGATGCAGTGATCATGAAGATCTTCAAAAAAGATAGCCGAAAAGCCTGTAGAAACTAAAGATACCCTTATTCTTCATCATGGAAAGAAGTATTTGCCAGGATCTTTCTAAATTGGCCCCAGATCATTGCCGAAAAGATCCTACCATAATCTAAATATGGATTCTGTGCCTCTCGTGGCACAAACAGCATGATTTTCCCTGTAGGGCAACTCCAAGAGAAAAGCAGAGAACAAAAAAAAAAAACTTTCCTTGTATTCTATGACTTAGAAAGGGGTTCGATAACGTTCTTTATCGTTTTGGATGTCTCGAACACTTTATATCTCTGGTTCAAACAATGAATGAAAATATTTCTGGACGTTTACTCCACCAGAACATACTGTCAGAAGAATTTCCAATCACGTGCGGACTAAAAAAAGGTGCTTCTTGGCACCTATGTTATTCTCCTTGTATCTGGCTGCAATACTTCAAAAAACTCCTTCAGACAATCCTGGAGTTGACATTTTTTCAAGTTTAGTAGACTTCGATCTAAAAGTCTAACAAACGCAACAAATCTCAGAATTTTAATATGGTGATATCACCTCCCAAAATTTTAACAGTCTTTGAACAACTTTGCTATGGCCTACCATTATTTTGTCCTTACAGTAAACATCAAGAAAAGGTTATTGCACAATCAGCCCCAAATATAATCTTACCAGATTTTGTTATTGCCATCTGTAACACACCTGTAGAACTAGTATAGCATTTTCCATATCTAGGCAACCTTTTATCAAACAAGTACACCTCAGAAAAGAATGTGAAACACAGGATTAGAATTGCATACGGGACATTTGCAAAGCTAATTAAACGCGTCTTGGACGACAAAATTCAGAATGTAACAATAAAAATTATGGTTTATAATGCTGTTGCCATTTAAACTTTTTTTATTTGGATGAAACCTTCAAGAATCACTAAAAAAAAATGGACAATATGTATGTTTTCTCCAATACATATTGTTCATTTTTTAGTGATAAATTAGTTTATTAACCTCGATTTAGCTCTGTTGAGCAAGGTTCAAAAACGGTGAGCTAACCCGTTTTTGAGTTTTACTTTTTATCTATAATCATGAGTGGTAATAAAAAATATTTTTGTCTATTTATAGTAGTTATATACAGTGTAACCCGGATATAAGAGAGATTTTCTCTGGTCCCAAATTAGAGTCTGTGTTAATGTATATATAATAGACCAAACCCGGATATAAGAGAAACCCGGATATAAGAGAAACCCGGATATAAGAGAAACCCGGATATAAGAGACTTCTTATATCCGGGTTTCACTGTATATTTAATGTAAATTTTCTGCTCCTTTTATTAGTTTCGTATTAACGAAAATAAATTACATGACAGTTGTATTAAAAAACAAAAAACAAGTTATACTAGGAAAAAATCTTTAATAAAATTAATTTTGTTTACATGTTGTTGTGGAGAAATTTTAAAAGAAAAAGTTCCAAGTCGAATCTCAGCTGTCAGTGTTTCTTATAGTATTATAGGCACAGCTGGAGAACTGTAAAAGCAACTGTTTACGAATTGTATGCGCCTGAAGACTCGATTGTGAGTAATGTGTATACTCGGGAATGAGTGGCAGTGTTTGTTACATTCATTTTCCATCTTTAAAGGGCGTTAGACGTTCTTTGAGTCACTTGACATGAAGCGATTCGCACAAAACCAACGCCACCCCCCCAACCCCTCCCCCCATCCTCACAATGTCTTGTCGTTTTCTCGAACTTATAAAGCAAAATCGCTTTTGTTTAATACGTGCCTCTACCGAAAGCCTCAGTCACTAATTGATAAAGTACCATAGAGTACAAGTAAGTAAACACTTCACACGTAGACTTGCACGTACGGACACACACACACACACACACATATATATATATATATATATATATATATATATATATATGAAAATTGTTTCTCACCAGACACACACACATATATATACATATACATATATATATATATATATTTATTGTTTCACACACACACATACACACACCCACACACAGATATATATATATATATGTGTGTGTGTGTGTGTGTGTGTGTGTGTGTGTTTTTGTGTTTTTGCATTTCTCTCTGTTATAAATATTTCATTAAATATGACCGAAAAGTACTTCTGTCTAGTTTATTGTTTTTCTTCTGTGCGGACAAGAGGTTTCTTTTTCGCCACTTATTCGTTTGTATAGAAATAGTCCAAAATGATTATTCGTTCCTAGCGGTTTCGGCTAATCTACCAGCCATTTTTTACAGAATTTATTTGTGTCATCGCAAACGCTGTTAAAGTTTTGGGTAGGTGGCCATATTTTTTTTATTCTCGAATACAGTCAGTACATTATGATTTTTAGTTCATGTCGAAAGATATTAATATATTTTATTTTAGTTTTAATTTCAAGCTAATAGATTAAATTTAATATTTTTAACAAGGAAAATATTTAACTGTATTTCAAACCGAATTTAAATTGATTGCAATAATCTTTTTCTAAACCGTTAAAATTGCTAAAAATCAGCTCTACGAGTCATACAAATAAAAAGTTAAAAAAACTACTCAACCGATTTCAAGGTTCTCAAAAATTAATCCGCTTATGTTAGATTAAATCGGTCGAATTGATTATATCATTAATATCTGAAAAGACTTTATATATAAGAACATTAATTTTCGACGTCAACATATTTTAAATTTATTCTTTCTTGCATGACGTAATCTAATCTGAAATTGCCCATTCAACTGTATTAAATAATTTTAGCGCTACAGAATTGAAATCTATGTAATAAAAACCTTAAATTGAATCCTGTCTCAATAGTAAGTCTGATCAATTCGAAAAGGTCAAATTGCTGGCTGATCTCAAAAAGGAACTATAACTTACTGTTGACAGTAGCAAGAAGGGGGGCTTGTTAAATTTAGCGCCCCCAAAACGAAATTTCACTCTATTAATCATCTGAGATTACACTTTCTGTCTGCAATCAACATGGATGACTCTAATCTCCAAGACACAGACACATTGCGCGTTTCTCGGACTAACGTTCTCTGCTGACATGAAGTGGAAAGATTATATTGAATCAATTTCTATATCTGCTGCTGAGAAACTTCGTTCACCGTGTCGTGGTAGAAAATTTCCCTCTCCAGAATCTATCTTACATATTTATAAGTCTACCATATTAATTAGTTCATACACGTGTACCTACGTTTGGTGCGTGACTAAAGTTTCGATGGATTACCAGCTCGTCCGACACAATGTCTATGCTGCTAAAAGTTTTAACAGCATTAAATGCTTTAACAGCATAGACCTTGAAGTTTTCACAGCATTAACCTTGTGCGCAAAGCGCTGGTAATAAAGACAAAAGGAAAACTTATCTTAGCGGATGCTTTAATTTAATGAAACACCCCCCACCCACACACACAC